AGTCGATTTAGTGTTTTTTTCACCAGTCAAATAGACCAGCTGATATGGTGAATATGGTAATTTAAGGCTGGTGCTACCTTTACGAGGCTTTGTTGTCTTGGTCTGTGCTAAAAAAACTATTATGCGTGATATATTCTACGTATGCGGGATGACAACTTATAACGAATAACTTTGGAAAGATCGTTATACTTAAGCTTTTTAAAAGTATGGAATTCAACTCATCAGTGGATATACAACACTAGTCTAATGATAAATCAACTAATAATCCCCTTAGCATTGTAGCGATGGTCATATTATAATAAAATCAATGGTAGCGTTGAATCTGTGTCAAGACTACCAAGTCTTTTGGATGCAGACTTTGAAAGAAACAGACAGGAAAAGTGAGGGAGCACATAGTTTCACAATAAACTTACCCTATTGGTCTGCATGTAATTATGGTCGAGATGCTTCATAAGAACAGGTGTGTCAAACATGTTAATCCTTAAGATGAAAGGTCTTATAAACGCTGATTTGTGAGCGATCCGCCTTAAACGGAGATTCTGAAAGTGCATTCCAGTCAGTGAGTAGTAAAGTTCAGTTCTTTATGCCTAAAGATAGTTGAGTCATAACTTTGGAAAGCACAGGTACAGGTAGAGAGAGAATGCAGTTAATGTTAAACTACAATTATCTAAGTACTGCCCTACATTTACTCAACTCCGGATGCATCTCATCAGTCTCAAGTTGAGTGAATCTCTTTCCCATCTATTACTCTCACCATGGATTAAGATATTTCCCTGGAAATTCTTAGAATGATTGCTAGACGAATTTTTCCATTGTCTCGTGACGTCAGTCTGTTTCAAAGCGTTTGTTTGTTCAGCTTGAAAATAATGAAACCAGTTTGAAGGAATTTATTGTCTGAAACCTTTTTATGATTTTTACATTCTTGAATTCATGAGAAGGTATATTTCAAGGATACTTGAAGTTTCATTCTATGTTACATGTAATAAGTTAGTCATGAATTATTTTAGTCCTTTAGTTGGGTAATTTTTCATCTGTTCTTCATTCATTTTTCAAATTATCACTCATGATACTGGAGTATGAAACAGTAACCACGCATGCTGTCAATCTGCTAAGAAAAAATAAATGAATTTATCACTATATCAATATGTAGTAACAGCCAAGGTTATTGAAACGAAAAACGGAAGCCAATTTGGTTTGTTTAATTGGTTATATGGCAAAGTAGATACCACTTTTCATCAATATTTGTAACGCCTCACTGTTGCATACTTCAGAGTAGGTACGAAGTCATCTTTATGACATTCGCTCACTGAAACGAATGTCACTCGTTTGCGTAAGCTTGCTTTAGTGGAGTACTGATATCTTAATGACGTACTCAGTATCATCAGATGAAATTTGTCCTTGTTTCTGAGCACAGAGAAAATATAATACTTATTCCTAGATATCTTACTTAGTCTAGGCAGTCAGTAATTAGATTCGAATTGTGAGAATTTAAACAATCCGATGAAAGGTATGTAAAAAGTTTATTACCAGTCTTAAAATGCAATCGGTGGACACTGTGAGCTGAAGATTACTGGAAGTAACATTACCTGGATGTGCTTTGGTTGAGAGTGGTTGATCTATATGTCTATAATTCATTACGGAATGGTTCTATATCTGATACGACATCTAAGCTTTCCCCGAAGACTGCCGTTATCCACGAGTCAAATTGCATATAGTGAATTGAAATTTTGTTAAACTCATGAATGCTTAGATACGACAGTATGTTTTCATCTTGAAGAACCTGAAACACTTGAATTTCATGGTCTTGTTCTGACTTTCAGTCTATTTTGCATGTAAATTAGTGTACTAATGATTATTATATGATACAATATTTTTGGTTTACTGTGCTTGGTATCTGCTGGATAGTCTTTACTTATATGTCATTTTCTACCAGTGACCTTTTCTTTTTCAGCATTTTGCATTCTTTGAGTAGACTTCAACCTTTAGTCTGTTACAAAATCCAGAATCTGTCCTTTCAGAATAATAAATTGAGGGAAAAACAAGACTGATTTTTAACTTTTGATCTATAAAATAATTCACATCCACTGTGCTACAAGTAAGAGATTTTTATCAAAACTTTATTCTCTTAGAATAGTATTTATAAAGAAAGAAGAGATAAATCCTTACACAGAGTGAATATTAACTCTGCAATACGATTTTTTTCTCTGTGAATGCAGTCTGTGCTGAGTTGTTTACTGAAGTTAGTGCTGATGATATCGTCTAGCAAGACGACGAAAGTTTCACGATTAAACAACCCAGCTCAGAGAACATAACACAACCAAGACCATCCACCTGAGCTACAAATATTCTCTATTATTTCAAAATTTCATCACTGAAATTTAGTCTAATATATAAATAATTCTTAGCAATATTATTCTGCTTTCTGTCTTAGCTACGAGGATGAACATCAAAATACATTTTTGCTGAATGTGGGTCAATTACACACTTAAGCTATTCATGAAGTTATAAATTACAGAAATGTAAACGCTAAAAAGTGAATGAGGTCTAATGGAAAATCTTTAAAAATATAATGAAACAGGCTGTTATTTGACTGAATATACAATAATTGACAGCAGAAGTGAAAGCTTTTTATAAATAGTCAGTCATATGTTTGTAGCAGTTAGGTGGCAATAAAGAGATCAAAAGAAAATAAAAAATCGCCGGCCTTACACAGGCTAAGGTTTATTCGGACGAAAAACAACTCATTTATGTTTAATAGCATAAGGTTCAAAGATATTTTTAAATTGATATTCAAAGTGTTCAGAAAACGTACATATATTTCTTCTGCAAAAGGATATTTGCCTTCTAAAGATGTTCGATAATGCTTTAGTTTCCCTACCTGTGATGAATACCTCAGCCATGCCAAGGAACGATTGGTATGCAATAAATAATAATTCTATGAAAAATAGTTATGAAAAAATCTTTCACTCAATTATAATTCTCCTAAATGATTACATTTTCTTTTTTACTTAGCCCTGTTTGTTGCTACTTAGAAATAATTACATAGAATAACCAAAGTTTGTGAACTATATAAATTGGATCACATGGGTAGTATTCAGTTAGTGATCAAGCTGGAACACGACTTTGAAATACTAAATGTTCTCTATAAGTTGCTTACAAACTATTTCATAGTATATCTATGATAATGTCATCTGTGGATCAAAGTGTCAATAAGATAGACTTCATGGGAGTTTTTATTATCCTAGCTTTGGTATTCACATTATCTACACATTTTGTTGCAAACATGGTTGGACATTCATCCCTGTTACATAAATTGTCATATTGTCATGACAGAAAAAGATTTTAGCATAGTAAGTTCGACCCCTTCATCAAACTTTTGCGACAACTAAATTGTAAGAAGTAACGTATACAGTTACTCTCGTCACTGGTATATATCTTGGTTGTATTGCGTTCTCTGAGCTGGGTTTTTTAATCGTGGAGCTTTCACCATCTTTCTTTATACTGAAGTTAGTGCTGCTGATGTTGTCTAGAGAGACGATGAAATCTCCACGATTAAACACACTCCAGTTCAGAGAACGCAATACAACCAAGAACATCCACCTGAGCTACAAATATTCCCCACCGTTTCAAAACACGCATCTTCATCTACTAACATGTGAACCCCCTTCTTAGGCATATATATATACGAGATGCTAACCATCATTCTGCTGTTATTCTGTGATGTAGATTGCCTAGCTGTCACCATTGGATTCAGCACAAGTATACTTTTGTTATCCTCATTTTGAGGCTTAGAAACCTGTTATTTTTTTTATCTGAACTTGATTGATAAGACTGACTTATTTTCATTCCGAAATATTTCATCTTACTTATTTCTTATTCTAATATGAGGATATGATACAATTTATCTTGTAAAATAACAGTATTATTCTTGATATCTTCAGAAATTCCACTCAACCTGCTTTTTCAGTCGGATCATACCACTTTCGACTTCTTCTGGAAAAAAGTCTAGCAGACTAAAGTTCATTTACTTTCCAAGATCTTTCCTGACTGAAGAGGATGAAATATGTTTCATGTCAACCTACGTTTATAACTGTAGCTTATTAGGTGGCTAGCAGTTTCGTCCTGCTTGGTACTCCTTAGCTGGATATACCTGTACCTCAGTGGATATTGTTCCAACTGAGACTCTAACTCAGTACGCAACGCTTCGAATACTAAAGCATTATCCACTAGGCCACTGAAATATAAGAGTCACCAGTTGTGCAATAGCTATAAGTTGCTGTTTATTGATACCTGGAATTTGCAGTTGCTAGGCCTGCTAGGTCCCAACTAATGCTGTTTGTACAAGTAGTAAGCTTCGTGCTCCAGTAGCATAGTGGGTAACGTCATGGGGTTGGAAGTGACTAGTACCGTGTTAGAGACCCAGTGGGGACAACAACACCCAGTGGAATGTTGAGACGTCCAGTTGGTGAGTCTCAAGTGGGATGAAAAACGCCTCCTACATTCCTCTGTTAGCCACCGAATGAAGCGCAATTTAATGGATATCCAGGCAGTATCGAGGCATTTGTAAAAGAGCCTATTCGCCATCACAGGTCGAGTAATTCAACCCAGTATGACAACGTGAAATTATAAGTAGGTCTTTTATATTTCAACAAAATTTCAAAAGGAATATCATGCTGCATACAAAGAGTTATTTAACTTTTACTGCCTTGCAATCATTAACCGCATTTTTATTTTTAAGAAATCACTTTCTCTGGTTTTTCTTTTTTGATTGTTTTGAAAATCATAGCGATTTTGCAAGCAAAATGTTCTCGAAGTCTGGAATATAAACATCATTTAGAAAAATTCTAATCGAAATATTGATTTTGACCAAAAAAATGAAGCGCAGTAAAGCCATATATATATATATATATATCTGTTTTCTGTTCATTGCCTTGTGTAATCAACTGTCTAGACTGATAAACCAGTTTAGCGTAGCGTTCAGAATAAAATAATTTTAAGATTTTTACTCTAAAAAATTTATTCACTCTATTTTTGATAATTTGCTTAAACTTCACAGTTTCTTATCTTACGGTACTTGTTAAATTAACAAATCTGAAAATTTCATTAATGAATATCAATTGATATCAAGGATAAGACTATGTACTCGTTCGATGTAAATTCTTTATTTACTAATGTACCTCTAGTAAAAACAATTGATATTTTATATGACTATATTTCTTCTAACAGTCTTATATTCCCTATCCCTATTAATTTTTTAAAATATTTATTGTTATTATGCACTGATAAAGTTGAATTCACATTCGGGGGCGAACACTTTCAACAGATTGATGGTGTCGCTATGGGCAGTCCATTAGGACCGTTGCTAGCTGATGTATACATGTCATATGTTGAAAACATGGCTGACGATCTCATCAGAAGGGTTTCACTTTATAAGAGATATGTTGATGATATAGTCATTATATGTGAAAAGCCTGATGATGCAATGTGCCTGCTACAGAAAATGAACACGGCTCAAAATCACATTAGCCTGACTTGTGAACAAGAGACGAACAAGCACCCACCGTTCCTAGACGTATTGCTCAGTCGACGGGAGGATGGCTCGATCAGGAGGTCGATCTATAGGAAACCTACATGGACAGGGCAATATCTTAATTTCCATAGCTATTGTCCAGTCCAATACAAACGTGGTTTAGTCAGATGCTTATTCAACAGGATAAACCGTATCTGCACCGATGACACCAGGGAGGAAGAAACCAACTTACTGACGACAACTCTGATACAGAATGGATACCCGTTGAGATTTATCGACCGGTGCAAAAGTTATGTACCATTGAAAAGTACACAGTGTTCCGTTGCTAAGAAAAATGTCTACATCTCATTACCATTTAGAGGTGATTCACATAGCTTTGTTGTGAGGAAAAGACTTAGATCGGCCATCTGTAAAACGTATTATGCAGCTAAGGTCATCATTGTAGAGAAGACCAAGTCCATGTTACAGCACAAACCGAAACAACATATAAACGATTACATCACATCCCACTGTGTTTATCAATTTACATGTATGTGTGGACACACATATATAGGGAGGAGTAATCGTGATATGCAGTTAAGGAAGGCTGAACATGTACCTAAGTGGTTACAAAAACAAATGACCTCAACAGATCCGATAAGTGCAGGTGACAAACATCCATCTTCGTCTATCGCTAAACATATACTAGAAACTAACCATAGGATAGACATGAAAACAGCCTTTAAAGTACTACATAAAAGTGGTCAGAGCCGAGTGCTTAAATTTATTGAAGCTCTTGCCATCCGTAAATTTAAACCCCCTTTATGTATACAAAAACAATTTGTACTCACGTTGAACCTACCTTGGTAGTATTGATTTTAATTTTCATACCAAGAATAAGGTTTTCCTTTTTTTCTATCCCTTCCTATTCCTATGTTTCCCATTAACTTCATTGACCTTTTCGTAAATTTTCATATAAATAGTTCGACAAGTCCATGTGTGATCAGATTTTTCGAAATGTATAGCGCTAATACATCACATGTTTCAGATAATCTTCGTCTTCTCATTACGCTGTTTGAATATCAGTTGATTGAATTCCCTGTCCGACTTCTTTTTTATTTTACCTTGCAACTGAGAACTTCATTTTCAAAGCTGAGGAAAACAACTAGTTGTTTAGATCCTTCGTCGAAGCCTTAAATCCTTGAAACTTCATACAATCAATTAACGTATTCAGGAGTTTCAAGAATTCACACGTCATTCAGTACGTAGATAACAAATCGGTTGAAGAGATTAAATCAATAATTTAGTTCTTCTAAAAAAGCCTGTCACTAACTTTGCTGATTGTAAATACAAATATATAGCTGTCTTTTTAAAGATACTTGACGCTACAATGCACCTTCTGTTGGATTATGGGTTTTTCTACTTCCCAAGAAATCCAGTGGTCATCCACCTTAGAGTGTGAAGCTGGTTGTTCAGGATTCCATACTTGTGTATGAGTAACTTCAGCTCTCATATTTTCAGCATCTTCGTTACTTTGTTTTGTCCATCTTACACAGATTAACAAAGAAATGTTCATTGTGTCTTAGTTGCAATTTCTTAAAACCACATTTTCTGGTGGGTAAAGGTATTTTTAGCTGTAACACGGTAGCTACTCAATAATTATTTCCGGAAACCATGAGGATCACCATAATCATCCAACAGTTATGCATCTGTAATAACATAGCTTTTCCTTGAGTGCTGAATCTACCCTTTGTCAACATCATAGATTATAATTGGTTTGATATTTGAACATTTTTAGTCTTCATTTAAAAAGATAGTGGGGATTTTTATAAAAACCTACGCATACATAGAAATGCCTCTTGGATATCATTTATCTACTTGTTTAACTTTATACAGGTTGAAAGATGCCACTAAATTCTTAGTCGGCACTTTACTGAAAGGCCATATGAAAATTTGGAGGTAAGTGAATATTCATAGCTGAATATTTTCCCTTTCAGATAGGCACTGTCGTAAGTTAGGAAGATCACAAGAACTACAAAAACGAGGTTATGTTATTTATAGAATGTTGATGTGGACACGAGGTTAAAGTTGATACTATTTGAGGTCGAACGGTTCAAGGTTATCAAATGATGATTCGGTGAAAAGTTAACGAACTGGTTGAATAATTAGTTGTCATAGGGTAAAGAGGTAAACGGGAGGATATAAAAGGAGTAGACGGTATACAGCTGAAGAAAAGGTGACAAAACAACATAAGTTAGTTCTATCCTGTGGGTTTTACTGTCCTTACTTGACTGAAATCTTAATTACCTTTCTTAATATAGTATGAAAAAGCTTGTGCATCTCGTAGACTAAACATTTCTCAGTAGAGTAGATTCTGGTAAATCACACATTTAGTCATTTAGAACAAAATTCATTATAACTGCATTTCAGCTTTTAGTATTCATTGAGATGTGTTCTGATATGCTCAGATTCTGAATAACGTAGACATGAAATTTAAATGACAGTTTTTGTTCACTAATTCTCGAGTAATTTTCATCACAAGGTGACATCAGAAAGATACCAATGAAAACCTAAGCTCAATGATTAACTGTTTAGTCTTATTTCAGGACTTTTCAGTGGTGTACATACATGACAGGATATCAGATGGGGGTGAAGATCATCAATTTTCAAGTTGTCATTGATTTTGAATCCAATACTTCCCGTTTTCTGACCTCTCTGAATGCAAGACTTAGGCAGACCATCACCAAAAGCCACTAGTGAGCATTTGTCCACAATGCCGACTTATTTCACTACGCAGGTCATGAGTTCTAAACAGGACTTGATGACGTTTGCGTCGACGTAATTCTAATAGCCATTTTAAATGAAACTAAGCGTTCATTTTATTCACAGCTCTCTCATTTTATCTTCAAGGAGAGCAAGAACAAATTTGGAGAAAAATATATATATATATATCAGGCAACTAAATACAAGAATTCCACAGTTCCTTACCCAGCACGCTTGATATATGGAGAAAAAGTGTTAGAACAGAACTCACATGTCAACTTTAGAACAATAAATGATTTGTCCTCCCCATATTTTAATTAGCAATGTAAAGTTTTCTTCAATAATATGAGAGTAAAACTTGTGTACTGTGATAGAATTAATCCCACTTTTATTTATTTTTTAGGTTTATCACATAGTGGAACAGTGTTGTTTACTAAATTTCGCTTCGGAATCGTAAGAAAAATATGGCTAATATTAGTAAAATAGGTGTTAGTAGTAGTAATAATAGTAGTAATACTGAGAAGACAGAATTCAAACCCTCTACAATATTACCATACAAAGAAGGCATCTTAGAGAAATTATATAGGATTCTCAAAAAGGCTGGGATAAGAATAGCATTTACACCTATAAAGTCACTTAGAAATAAGCTGTGTAGGTTAAAAGATCCTACTGATCCAGTTGAGGAGGATGATTTATTTAACCAAATCTTTTGTGACGGTTGAGAGGTCAAATACATAGGTTAAATTAGTCAGCCAGGGTCATTAAGGCTATCCAAGTGCAAAAACCCAGCTAGATCAAAATTAGTAGCTCCTAGTAAGGTAAGGAATTTGTAAAAAAGCTCAACCGTAGCTGTGTATGTTATTTCAAATAACCACACAATCAGATGGGACAGGGGAAAATCCTTAAAACTGACATCGCAGGGTGGAGGGCTAAATTGATAAATGAATCCAGACCTGATAATAATATTCTTTACACAATTCAAATAGCAACGTCTATTCGAAATGTCTTCCAGCAGTATATATATATATATATATATATATATATATGTTGCATAAGTATAGGCTGAAAATTTCAAATTTTACTGGAAATTGTTTGAAATAAAGCGATTACCGTTATTATTGTTATTGGTGCATTTTATTGCAGATTCCCTTTTATTTTTGTTGGAACAAAGCAGATAAACAGCCTTCATTTATTGAATTTCAGGATCATGAGGTCCCTAACCTGTTTCTCCACATTTTTTAAACATAACAAAGACTAACGGTCAAAGACTTTAAGAATAAATGCCATCCTTAGCATCGAAGGAGAATGAACTTAAACTCTTTTCAAGAAGGGGTTTATCAAGATGATTAAGGTTTGTATACACAACTGTGAAATTGATGTAAACTTTGAGGCCAAAGATGGGTGCTGGAATGAAATGTATTTAAGAAAAAACTGACATATGCTTAGCATCACTATTAGTAACCTCGCCTGGTTAACTAGTTCACTAGTTACTGGAATGTCTGCACAATGTTTGAAGCTAGCTGACAAGGCTGACCACATTGCGAAACAGATGAGAAGGTATGGTATAGAAGTGCTAGGTTGAGACTCTGTGAAAGCAGGTGGAATGGAAGTGGACTCTCCAAACTGTCAACTGGAGAATCAATAATCTACTCCGATATTGTCACCAACACGACAACCTCCAACACACTGAGTTCCTGAGTGGCTATCATGATGTCCCCCTCCCAACAGCATCGAACACTCTCATGCAGTGAGAACCAATCTCCTCCTCCACATCACGACCATAACAACAATGTTCAGCTCAAAAGGAAGGAATGCTACAAATTCATACAATGCTATACTGTGCACCTACAAATAATGCAGATGAAGAGAATGAGGAGGAATTCTACAGACAACTGCAATCAACACTGGACTGGACAACACCCCACCCAGTTGGCGATATCAAAATTCATTCTAATGTGTTGGGTGACATGAATGCGAAACTGGGAGTGGACAACACAGGAAGAGAACTCATGCATCATGTGTTGAGAGGCACTCGGTGAAATGATGAATGTGAATGGAGAACAGATTGCAGAATTCTGTGCATTCAACGATTTGGTGATTGTAGTCAGGCAGTGTGTACAAACATAAGGATATTCACAAAGTGACATGGATTTGATTTCACCAAACACCAAACAGACACACAGAAATCAGATAGACTTCATCTCAATGTGAGGAAAAGTGAGAGGCAGCCAGCCTACTTGACACAACGTCAAGAGGAGGAGGAGGAGGAGGAGGAGGAGGAGGAGGAGGAGGAGGAGGAGCAGATGTAGGCTCAGATCACTATCTAGTGCAGGGAACCTACCTTTCAAATCCAGTTGAAAGCCTTCGAGGAAGTTGGTGAAAGACCACAGTTCAAGTTTAACCCTCGGAACGGAAACTGAAGGACAAAACGACAAAGGACATCTTCACGTCACTCAGCCATCAAGACGAAATGGGAGATATCGATGGACATCCATGAAGAAATCTGTGTGGATGAATACTCGAAGTGTTTGAAGGCTGTGTGGAAGTAAACCTGGCTAACCGTATTAGGAAGGAAGAAGAAAGAAGATAGGGAGTGGATGTCGACGGACACATGGAAGCTGATTGTGTAGGGAGAGGAGGATGTTGAAGCAGAAGATGAACCAGTGCAAGGATGAAGGAGGAGAAGAGGAAGTGAACACAACGTATAAAACACTATACTGGACAAAGTAGTGAAGAGGAGTGCCCGGAAGAACAAAAGACACTTCCACGACACACTGGCAAGTGAAGCCGTACAGGCTGTAGTTATGAGAGACAGAGCCCTGATAACATTATATCAAATAACCATTTTACTTACTATGTGGTAGGGAAGAGTTCAACACAGATGAAAGGAGTAAGAGATGAATGATGACGGAAATTTCATTACGAAAGAAGAGAAGGAAGGGAAACGATGGGTTGACCACTTCAAAAAGCTGTTGAATTGACCACCACCACCACCTGCACTTCGTCCAGAAATACCACCTGCAGCCTAGTCACAGAACTACTAGTGAACACAAATCCTCCAACAGAAGTCGAAGTCCTGAGCGCCATAAAGCTACTAAAATGTGGGAAAGCAGGCGGGCGAGATGGAATCCTGCTAGAAACACTGGTCACAGACGCACAGACAACAACGGACATGCTCAAGCCACTACT